AGTCGGTCCAAGTGCAAATGATGATTGCACAACCCGACGATTGTCTTCCGTTTATGGGCCTAATCATCATCGACGTCCTGTTTCGTGCAAGCAATTAAAACTTGGCCATTTCTAATTAAAAAGCAAGTGACTGTGAAGCTGGGACTCGCAGCAGCCGCAAGCAAGAGGACACATTTGGAAATTTGCGAAACGATACCGAAAATCAAAAGTCTATATCGCCAACGTCTGATTGCTTTGGATGGGCGATGAAGAAGGGGGAAGGGAAGGGAAGTGATGGTATGGGGAAGTTCGAGCATGTGTCGCACAGACGACTGAACCGCAGACGGAAAGACAATTTGATGTGCAATAAAAATGTTGCTCTTTGGATTTCATATAAGATTTGTACGAATGTGTGCGTGTGTGTGTGTGGATGGTTGGCTGCAAAAAGGGAAAACCTTTATGAAAATTTTCTCAAATTGGATTTCTGACCCTTTGGTCAGCGATGTGTGAAGGTCCTTCGGCGATGCGAGCGGCCATTCATATTTGCATCTAATACATAAACATAATGCGTTAATTTAAAATGTATTCCAGCAAAAGGAAGACGACTAAAGATGGCAGCCAACCACAAAGCCGGCACCAGCACACAAACTTACCAACATTCAGACGAAAAAACGAGAAAAAGAATATGCAAACATGTTTGGGCGGTAATCAAATTTGCGATGTTTTTTTTTTGTGTAGAACAAAAAAATAAATAAAATATAAAAAAATGAATTGCTGCTGCTGCTGTGCAGTTCTCCCCAAGGAAATGTTCTGGCAAGACCACAGGACATGAGCGATACAAATAAACAAATGATGTAAATTTCATTTTCACATTTTAGCATTTGGAAAATGCGCATCGGCGGACAGACAGTCAGACAGGCAGATGTGCGAAAGAAAACGTAACACACAAGCAGCAAATATGAAAATCCGCATAAACAAATTACGAAAATTTATTTTGCGGGCAGGGCGATTTCTCAGCATACATTTTGCAATGAAGGCGACCACGGGGGCCAGAAGAAATACGAGTGTCCATCCGAAAGTTGGCTCCAAAGGCATATCGAGTGGCGAAACTTTGCGATTTTCAAAATTGAATTTATCAAAGTTCAGATATTTACATTTATTTCACATTTGTCATTGACATTCGAGCAGCTGGCAAAAGGACTTAAATGTGTCAAACGCACAATCTCCGCTAAGCAGCTTAACATTAAAAACCTCTTTTCGTCATTTAGTGCGAAAAAATGCTCGCCTGAGTCTTGCCTGCTCGCTTGTATTAAGAGTTCGAGGAAAAAGCAAATGCGTCGGCCGATTTAATAACGCAACCAAACCCTCACACGAAATGTCAATATCAATTTCGTCCTTCAACTTTAATAAAATGAGTGATTTCGTTTTGATTTGGATTTGAGTTGGAAGTAATAAGATGAAAAGGCAGGTGGGAAAGAATAACTTAAAGCATGGCTAAACGATTAGAGATTGTTCAAATATTTACTAATGTTTGAAATAGGCAAAGAGAAATAAACATATATTTATCAGTAGTAAGTGTATATAAATTTATTTGATGTTTTGTAGTTTTAAATCGTCATTACTCGTACACACGTGAACAAAATAATAAGTACACAAGTAACAAACATATTTCGTATGCAATTCCATGCCGTTTTCAAAAGCATAGCTAACACTAAGTAGTTCATATTTCTGGACCCAAAATTAAAGTGGGGAGTTCCAAAGATTTTAAAAGTGCTAATGAGCAGTTTTTGGCTGCTGGCCTGCTCCGAATTTTAAAATAGTTTCCGAATGTTTCGATATTCGCGATTAATAGAAATAGAAACGAAAAATTCAAATTAAGAACTGCATACTTTTAGGGTTGATTTATCAGTTTGTATGCCAAAGACTTATTTAAATAAAAAGGGCATTAACATTTTAAATAAATAACAAGAACTAGGTGTAAATACAACACTAATATACTATGTATGTATAATATTTTTCAATAGTGACTCTAAACTGTCTTTTCAATTCTTATGCCACTAAAAAAACATCGTAGTTTTTCAAACTAAGGAGGTACAAGAAATACTTGTAATGCTTAAACAACAGTCCTACTCGTAGGCATTAGCAAATAAAGAACAGCCTGATTCTTATATATCCTATATACTTCCTTTTCCCGGCTACAGACATAAATATCAATTTCGGTTACCATATCGTAATAAACACAAGAGTTTTATGCATTTTCTTAGGATATCGGCATACTAACTAATGCTAATGATTTTTTCACCAATTTCTCATAAAAATCTTATTGTACATAAAAATCAAGTCATTTACCGAAAATAATTTGAACAATAATGTTAATTTTCTTTATTTATCATTCTTGCAAGTAAAATATGTTTAAAATGTAACTATTAAGTTCGAAGATATTGGAAAAAGCGAAAGGAATTTAAAACGAGTAAATAAAATCTTATAAAGATATAAATAAGACTAAACTCCTAGAGTAAGCTGTAGTTGTATTTAAATAATAACAGTATAATTAAAGTTTTACATTTATAAAAAAATTTTTTTTTTTTTAATTATAAAGATATCATTTCTTAGTGGAATTTCTAAATATATCTATAGAAGTGTAGCTCTTTTAAATAAATTCCCTCAATTCCTTTATGCAAAATAAACATACAAGAAACGTCAGAGTGCACTCCCAATAAAATAAATTAACATATTAATAGGTTTGATGCCGTTAGTTATTTAAGTTGAAAATCAGGGGGTACGCACTCACCCACACATACCTACATATATATACTATACTCGTACATATGTAAGCATACGCCACACACACACAGATACACAGACAGAGGACACTCGGGGGTGCCATAAAAGTTCACACAACAGCGATTTTGCAGTTCCTATTTCGAAACAAAACGAATGGAAAGGCAATAAGTATGTGTGAGGGAAGTGCCTCATAGATAGCAGCGATTAAAATTATGCAAACGCATGCCTATGCCTTCGGATGCGCATGTATATAGTTAACTAAATGGAGCGGGCGCGGTGGGATGATGAGGCCTACACGCCGTAAACACCCAATTTTTGTTGCCGCAAGAAAAGATTTTCCGTTACGCTAAAGTAAATGGCTTGGCCGTTTTCTATGCAAATTGAGAAATTATATAGAGCACTTAAAAAACACGATAAATAAAGACATTACAAAGCTCGCAACAAAGCAACTCCAACTCAGAAACATATTCATTTTACACTCAGAAAAAAAAGTTTGAAATAGACCTAGAGTACATACATACTTAAAAATATCCCCATTATAATACAGATCTAAAAAAATGCATTTTTAAATATACGAGTAAACGTAGAACAGATTTCTCAAGTTTTTCAAAAATACAAGCATGGGCTCTAAATATCAATATAAATGTATTGTATGAATTCTAAAGAAAAATATAGCTTTAAAATAAAAAAAATAAAAAATATAAGTTTAGTGCCCTGCTTTTCAGAAAATCAGCTTTCTAAAAATGCACACAATTTGTATGTAAAATAGAACAATTAATTATTGGAAATTTAACCAATATTTTCTTTACTTTACTTTTTTAAACAAAATTGTAATGCAGGTGTTTTATTTATAATTTTTGTAGTAAGAAAACAATTAGTGCCCCATTCGCTCACGAGCTTTTAACTGACGTCAATGATGATGCAGATTTGCTTGAAACTGGTGCCAAATCATGGATATATGGTTATGAGGTCGAAACCAAAGCCCAATTGTCCCAATTAACATTAGTTACTTTTTTTTTATTTCTATTTTTTTCTACACATATATACAGAGTGTTCTAACTTCGGCTTGCTTGAAAATAACATTTAAATACAAACATTATTTGCCGCTTTAAAAAGAAACCACAGAAGCATATAACAGTTTAAAATACTTTAAGCTTCAAGTATTGGGCAATTAGGTTGGAAATTCAAGAAGGAGAATTTGGCATGTGTGTGCATGTCTAGGCATGCCTGACTCTGTTGCCTATTCGAGTGTCCATTTTTAATTAACACTTTGACAATTTGACGCGAAATGCATTTTGTGTTTCAAAACTGCACAAGCATCGCCTGCATGCCGATGAGCCTCGATGGTTGGGGGCTGAGTCTGGGGGGGACCCAGCAACCACTGCGTTGAATGTTTAGAATGCATTTGACGTGTCAATGCGAGGAGTCCCCCATTGAGTCGCGACGTGTGAGGCAACCAGCCAGCCAGGCAGGTCCAACGCAGCTTCTATGCGGCCCGCATTGCCTGCCTAATGCCATGGCCTTTCATTTGCCCGACACATAAATGTTGCATGGGTTTGTGTAACCCAATTACCGTTGCAAATTACTCACACCTTGGGTTGAAACCCCCCCTTCCCCCGATGCGTGCACCCTGTTGGCAGGCACAATAATACACGAGTTAGCCGAGAGGTTGGGGGTTGGGGTTAGGGGCACGACTCCGAGACTCGCTTTGCATAATTGATGACAAATTGAAATCATGTTAATGTTTCAATACAGACGTCTCCATCAGAATGGAGTTTGGAGTTATGTCCATGAAATAAATAAATACATATGTATGTATGTACGTGTATTGACAAAAAAGATTTGATGACCCTTTCCAGTCAAAAGGTTAAATTGCTCAAATGCTAATGCTTGCAAATCGTTGTGTACGGCCATAAATTCATCAAGCAGCCAAAATCGAATTGCCAATGGATCACTTTGTGGTTGCAAGGATTTAGCCGCCCACAGCTCCCAGGGGCCGCATCTGGTGGCCGTAAATCGAAATGAGCTCACAATAAATTTTCAATTGGTCAGTTTGGACGTGGCTGGTGGCAAAGCCTTTGGCTCTCAATAAATCGAACCCAATGGGCATAGAGAGTGCGACCGATGAGAAATACTATGTACATAGTACGAGTATGTGTGTACCACCATTAGAGTGTGTCACAAATAATTTGAATTTAAAGTCTGATCTTTGTAGTAATATTGAAAACAAAATTCGGCATTGAAATAAACAAATCTAAAAATTTGAAATGGCTGCGTCAAAACCAGCCACTCCACTGGATCTCATCAAGACATTGGAGCTGTCTGGAGAGGAAGATCTAGATGAGCAAATCAAAAACTGGATTATTTGGGATAGGAATGAGGCATCCATCAATCAGGTAGTGGAGGTAGTTAAGGAACAGGATTGGCAGGCATTGCGCCTTCGTCTCTGCCATCAGATACATTTTGAACCAAGTGGTCTGCTGGGTATTATGCGTGCCGGTTTTGATTCAGTAAATGATCTTATAATAATACAAACGGCGCAAGGCCTAAGTAAGTTCCTAATTGATGCCTATCCGAGCTTACAAAAACGCGAAACCCAAGGCGTTGTGATTGGGTACGATGGTCGCTACAATAGCAAACGTTTTGCCCAATTAGTGGCAACGGTCTTCCTAAACGAGAACTTTCGGGTCTACCTCTTTCAGCGCGTAGTCCCCACACCCTTCGTACCCTTCACTGTCATACGCAAAAAGTGTTTAGCGGGTATTGTCGTGACCGGCTCCCGCTTTCCCAAGGAGGTTAACGGCATTTGTGTGTATTGGACGAATGGTGCTCTGGTAATACCGCCTATAGACAGGAACATAAACAATGCGATTCAGGAGAATTTAGAGCCAAGGCCAACCTCCTGGGATTTGTCCGTATTAGATCAAAACCCCATTTTGGAGGACCCCTATAGAGAAATCTATCCAGGATACTACGATACCTTGAAAAAATCAATTTCGCCTGCTCATTTGGAGACAAACGAGTGCAGCCAGCTGCGATTTGTCTACACGGCCATGCATGGTGTTGGGTATCCGTTTGTGAAGGAGGCGTTCTATCAGGCCCGGCTGAAGCCTGTGATTGCAGTGCTACAACAACGAGACCCTGATCCCGAGTTCCCTACGCTCGTCCATCCAGATCCTGAGGAAGGAAGGGTGGCCCTGGAGATGTCCATAAAGAAGGCCGAGGAGGAACATTGCACGATTATTTTGGCTACCGATCCGGATGCTACTAGCTTGGCTGTAGCGGAACTGGATCCGAAAGGCAGGTGGAAGATATTTAATGGCAATGAGATTGGCGCTCTGCTCGGTTGGTGGACGCTCGAGTGTTACAAAACTAGAACCCAAAAGCCCGATTTGGCGAACTGTGTAATGATCTCGAACATCGTCAGTTCACGGATACTTGCCGCCATGGCGAGGGAAGAGGGTTTCATCTTCGTTGAAACTCTGAGGGGTTTCAAATGGATGGGCAACAAGGCTTTTGAGCTCCTAACTCTCGGAAAAAACGTACTGTTCGCCTTCGAAGAAAGCCTTGGCTACATGATCTTTTCGAATTTGATGGATAGGGATGGTGTAAGCGCCGCTTGCCACATTGCCACTATGGCCTGTCATTTACGTACCACCCGCAATATTACACTTATCGAGAAGCTACGCGAAATTTACGATAGATATGGCTACCATGCGAGCGTATGCTCATATCTCATTTCCGATGATCCCTCCACAGTAGAAAAGGTTTTTGAGCATTTGCGAAGCTTCGACGGAGCACCTGGCACTTATCCCAAATCGGTACTCGGCGGAGAGTTCCAGGTAATGAATGTGCGGGACATGACTACGGGTGTGGATACCACGTATGCGGATAATAGAGCTCGGCTTCCAGTCAACATCAATCACGAGATGATCACTTTTACATTTACCAGTGGTTTTTCAATAACACTTCGGGGCGTACCAGATGAAAACAAGTTGAAGTATTTTGCGGAGATTTGTGGACTGCCGGAAGAAAAGGATTGGGGAGAACTTAGTGATAAGCTCTACCGCATGGTTGATGCTGTTATCGATGAATTCCTACAGCCAAAGATATATGGACTTAGGACAAATATGAGCAACGAATAATGATTTACAAATTTTAGTTCACAGCCAATCAAATCAAATAAATCTTCATAAATGGTACTTATCTATTAACAATATCTACAGTTGTCTTTCATTTGGCAAGAAAAGAGGTCTCTGAAAGGTGTGAGCTCAAGAAGAAGCTGGATGTGTCTACCAAATTTTAAAAACGGGAAAACTGAACAACCTCGTGCTTTCTCGGTTATTCTAGCTCTTATACTTTCTGAGATCCTTGCGTTCATACCGACAGACAAACGGACAGACGGACATGGCTATATCGATTCGGCTTGTCATGTTGATCAAGAATATATATACTTTGTGGGGTCTACCACGCCTCTTTCTGTGTGTTCCATGTACACTTGCACAAAACTAATATACCCCTGTACCCTTTGGGTACAGGGTATAAAAAGCAAATTATTTAATAAAATTGAATTTATTAATTAAATTACGGGAGTTATGGAAAAAACACGAATTGCGAGGGAGTGGGAGTGGAGGGGGTGCATCGGAAAAAAATAACAAACTTGTGCTTTCTCGGACTTAGGAGAATGTGGATACCAAGTTTGGTTATTCTAGCTCTTATACTTTCTGAGATTCTTGCGTTCATACAGACGGACGGACGGACAGACGGGCATGGCTAGATCGACTCGTCTTGTCATCCTGATCAAAAATATATATATACTTTGTGGGGCCTGCCACGCCTGCTTCTCCCTGTTACATACATTCGCACAAAACTAGTATACCCTTTACCCTTTGGGTACAGGATATAAAAATATTAGCTGACTGAACTAAGCACCAATACTATAGAATTTCTTCTCATTGTCATCAACGTTCGTTTAAACTGATTGCCCCATTATTATGATTTTGAACCAAGGAAGTATCCTTCTGTATTTGCAAATAATCAACAATTAAATACTTATTAGTCGCTGAATTCTGGAGATATTGTGTGTCCAGATTTTCAACATACCTTACAAGTAAATTACTAAGTTTCACAAGTTCCTGGCACAGGGCTTTCTTATAACTTTACCATCCTTGCTAATGCTATGTGGTATAAATGAATGCAGGGTTTCTTAAATTTAATGTTAACCCAATTCAGATAAGTTTTAAATATAAAGCATGGCTCCCAGAAACAATGTGTAGTTGTGGCTTAGTTTCTTCCTTTTTGTTTTGATATCGTACCCATTAATATGAAAAAAAAGCATCCAAATAAACACCCTTGGAACGTTAGCGCGTTACAAATGTTCTTTTTGTACTATTGTGTTGGCAGGACTTAATCGAGATTCGACAGTAAAGAAACAAACGACGACAGCTCATTAAAGTGCCAGAATGCTGCGGAGAGGCACAGAACGCCAATTATGCGTGTGCTGGATGCTGCCACATGCGGTGAGTTGTGATGGCTGGGTGGGAGAACGTTCCTTGTTTTCTCCAAATACACATATGGGGTAACTGTATCTGTGCGAAAGTATCTTGCAAGACAAACACTGAAATTTTATAGTTTGCTGCCTAATTGCACTCTAGGGTAGCTTCCATTTCTGCTCCCCTGCTCGGTGTGGCAACATTCGTGGTAATCGTTTGCGATTGTGCGAATCAGCAAGTCGGCAGCAATAATGAAAACTGTGATTAAGAGAAAGAAAGGACATCACAGGTACCGCATATGGTATTGTCGGTTGCTTAAATTTTATTCCACATGAGAAACTCATCATCATCTCGTATACTCGTATAGTATATTTACATTATTTTCAGGTCAAACAGAATATTTCAATAGCTTTAAATTAACAAAGCATTTTTCTACCGAAAATCAAACGTAAATTTTAACCGTACATACGAGTAAATGCTCGGCACCATAGGTAAACAGCCTCTACTCCCTGAGGTCGCCGAAATTTGGTGCAAAACAAAGGGTCACATACTCCGATAAACAAGCGACAGGCTGGATAAGGAAGCTGGAGCTGGAGCTGGAGTTGGAGTAAAAGCTGTTTGCCAAACCGTTTGCTGCCTCTGTCATCCATTAAATTTTCCCCAAAATACAAAGTGGAAAAATATCCAAGGCACACGAATTAAATATTAATCATTGTCGACGAGGACGGCGACAACGAAGAAGTCCTTCGGTACGATTACACATATGTGTATACATATGTCTATTTGCATGCGAGTTCCTTTCGGTTAGTGAAGATACATATATGTATGCGCAGGTTAGTGCATTATTAAGCACTGTTTATGCGACATTAGGAACATAAAGGCAGGATGTCAAAGGAGGGCGTAAATAACAAACGAGATACACATATGTATGTATGTGTACATTGATTGGACAATTTTGAAAGTTTCGAAATAATGTGCCACCCCATGTTAACTTTATCAATTATTCGAAGCAAGTGGTTTCTTTATTTAAACTAAATTCAAAGATACCAATCGTTTTTTAAACTAGTTCCCTCAGATTAGTACTCGTATATAAATATTTGTTGCGAAAGAGTCGCTTAAGAATCAACTATTGCCTTTACATTTATAAACAAACTCTTAATAGGATAGCAGCATTTTTGTTGTTTAATGTTTTCTATATTCAAGTAATAAATTTAATTATTTACCAACTAAATTTGTAGTTACAAGGAAGCTTTGTTGCAACACTTTAAAACTGCAAACTTTTTCTAAATTTATTCAGAACGCATTTCTTTTTAGGCTTTTATTTTTTGTACATTATTAAATTGTGTTGCTGAAAAAAGGCCGTGCTTTAACTTCATTTAAAGCCTAATTAAATTGAGGATATAAGTCCTCAATAAATTCGAATAAATTTCTTTTTTCGTTAACTCGTCACTGTTAATCGGATTCATACGTAAATTTGCAAAGAGAATTTTTTACTTTTCATTATAATTATTACACAAAATATTTATTTTTTTTTAAAGAAAAACTAAAATTAAAATAATTAATTTCACCATTTGAATTATTTAGTTTTTTACAAAGATAGTTATTTATTTAATTGTGTTGCTAAAATTAAGCCGTGCACAAATATTATTATATTATTATACAAATTGTACCCTTTCGACAAAATATCGATTTCTTTTGACATATCAAAGTAAAGAAGAAAATAGTCTATACTTTGTCATTATCATTTTCCCAGTCGTTTAATATATATAAAATATAGTGCAGTATTCTTTAAAAAGCATTAATATATAGTTTAATAAAATCTCTATAAACCATATTCTTTTTTCAATGAAAGCTATTTTTATGTTTTTTACGGCAGCTATATAAGAATAATTAAGCTATTTAGGATTTGTAATAAAATTGATCTGCATATGAATAAGACGTTTTTATATGTCAAGTTTGGAGTTCCTCGCTTTTATAGATCGAACAAATAAACTGACATTCATTCGTTTTATCGTGCTGATTACTAATACACCTACAATTTCTGTGGTCTGTCATTAATACAGACTACTCAGCACACCCTTTCACCCTTCAGGATATATAAAAGATAACTAAATTAATCAGTCAGTCCATAAAGAAAGTAATAGTAGAGTTAAGCTTATATTAAGTAGCCAGCTCAAACATTCTTCATTTCTTTAAAGATTTGTCATCTTTCTTTTTCGTAGCAGGTTAAAATATAATATATAAAATATATAAAAGATAACTAAATTAATCAATCAGTCAATAAAGAAAGCCTTAGTAGAGTTAAGCTTATATTAAGTAGCCAGCTCAAACATTCTTCATTTCTTTAAAGATTTGTCGTTTTTTCTTTTTCGTAGCAGGTTAAAATAAAATATATAAAATATAACTAAATTAATAAACCAGTCAATAAAGAAAGCCTTAGTAGAGTTAAGCTTATACTAAGTAGCCAGCTCAAACATTCTTCATTTCTTTAAAGATTTGTCGTTTTTTCTTTTTCGTAGCAGGTTAAAATAAAATATATAAAATATAACTAAATTAATAAACCAGTCAATAAAGAAAGCCTTAGTAGAGTTAAGCTTATACTAAGTAGCCAGCTCAAACATTCTTCATTTCTTTAAAGATTTGTCGTTTTTTCTTTTTCGTAGCAGGTTAAAATAAAATATATAAAAGATAACTAAATTAATCAATCAGTCAATAAAGAAAGCCTTAGTAGAGTTAAGCTTATACTAAGTAGCCAGCTCAAACATTCTTCATTTCTTTAAAGATTTGTCGTTTTTTCTTTTTCGTAGCAGGTTAAAATAAAATATATAAAAGATAACTAAATTAATCAACCAGTCAATAAAGAAAGCTTTAGTAGAGTTAAGCTTATATTAAGTAGCCAGCTCAAACATTCTTCATTAAATTAATCAACCAGTCAATAAAGAAAGTCTTAGTAGAGTTAAGCTTATATTAAGTAGCCAGCTCAAACATTCTTCATTTCTTTAAAGATTTGTCGTTTTTTCTTTTTCGTAGCAGGTTAAAATAAAATATATAAAAGATAACTAAATTAATCAATCAGTCAATAAAGAAAGCCTTAGTAGAGTTAAGCTTATACTAAGTAGCCAGCTCAAACATTCTTCATTTCTTTAAAGATTTGTCGTTTTTTCTTTTTCGTAGCAGGTTAAAATAAAATATATAAAAGATAACTAAATTAATCAACCAGTCAATAAAGAAAGCTTTAGTAGAGTTAAGCTTATACTAAGTAGCCAGCTCAAACATTCTTCATTAAATTAATCAACCAGTCAATAAAGAAAGTCTTAGTAGAGTTAAGCTTATACTAAGTAGCCAGCTTCATTTCTTCATTTATTTTAAAGATTTGCCGTTTTTTCTTTTTCGTAGGTAGGTTAAAATTTTGCAATTTAGTGTCACTATAAAATATGATGAATATAAAATAAGTTTTATTTTTTTAAAATGAAATTCTTTTCTTTTTAAAAATGAAATTCTTAAATGTTTCCATAAGGGCTAATCCTTCAGATGGTTATCCTGGCAAATACTCGTACGAATGCAATGATGTCTGAAAATGTCGACATTATTGCACATATGTTTATGATATTTTGTTACATCGGCAAATGTCGCTGGCGGGCACTGTTCTATAGCACTTGTAGAAACAAGAGAACCCGATAATGATGGCGACAAATGTGGCAGCATTGCGATTGTGGCAAACGCAGCT